AATTGACACATAAATTATTGAAATTGACAACCCAAATTATTGAAATTGACACAAAATATTGAAATTGACAACCCAAATTATTGAAATTGACACATAAATTATTGAAATTAACAACAAATTATTGAAATTGACACATTAAATTATTGAAATTGACACATAAATTATTGAAATTGACAATCCAAATTATTGAAATTGACACATAAATTATTGAAATTGACAATCCAAATTATTGAAAATGACACCACACATAAATTATTGAAATTGACACATAAATTATTGAAATTGACACCCATGAACAGGAAGTTCCTGTTCCTCAATTTCGCAGACCCCCCCCGCCTCAGATTTTCACACTTTCACACACCCCTCTTGTCCCCACCGCGCTGCCTCTTTCTTTGCCCCCCCCCCCCTTCAGGGTCCCCTCCATTCTCCGCTGGACTCGGCCCGGGGCACACGGCACCACGGCCTGGTGGAACGGGTGCAACGGGATCCCCGCCGGATGATCTCGCCGCTGCGACGTTACGTACGACAAATATCCTTTCTCCTCAAGGCGGGTTTTCCTTTCCTTTGGCTTGCGAGCGCAACACAGCTCGGGCTGGAGGTTCTCCAGGGATGGAAGAGCAGAAGGATTCCCCTTCGGGATTCGACCCACATAGCTGTTGACACACAACGTTGTGTGTTCCTTAACCCCGCCCCCCTCCCATCACATCGACAGTTCTCCTTACAGTCCGGCATACCTGTCCCCTCCTGCTGAGCCCAGCTGGAGAAGGTGAGTCTTTTCCGCACTTTACCGACAGAGCGAGCCATTGCTATATAAAATGGGAGCACGCCTCCTTCCCTACTAGCGCTGATGCCGTTACCTAGCTTGGTCATGAAACGTCTGCAAGAAATCAGCCTGGTTTAGGGAGCACCAAGGACCCCACAGTCTTCCTTCACCACCACCTCCTCTTTTTCCACTATCTCCTCTTCCATTTCACCAAAAAAAAAACCCTTCCTCCTAGCACTGATACTGTTACCTAGTTGGGTCATAGAATGTCTGTAAGAAATCAACCTGATTTAGGGAGCACCAAAGACCCCACAGTCTTCCTCCACCTCCACAGTTTTCCTCCATCTCCTCCTCTTCCTCTTTTTCCGCTCTTTTTCCTCCTCCATTTCACAACCCACCCACCCCCTTCCTCCTAACACTGATGCTGTTACCTAGTTGGGTCATGAAATGTCTGTAGGCAATCAACCAGGTTTAGAGAGCACTAAGGACCCCACAGTCTTCTTCCAACTCCTCCTCCTCCTCCTCCTCCTCTTTTTCCATTCTTTTTCCTCCTCCATTTCACAACCTCCCCCTTCCTCCTAGCACTGATGCTGTTACCTAGTTGGGTCATGAAACGTCCGTAAGAAAACAAGCCCAACCCAGAGAGCACCAAGGACCCCACAGCTACCATCCTTCGCTTTTATTTAATTTTCCTCCTCACTGTTTTTCCTCCCAGTCTCCTTCTTCCCCTTTTGGTTACTTGCACCTCAAGTTATGACCGTAATCAAGCCCTGCAATGACGGTCATAAGTTGCAACCATCGCAAAGCACGTCACCACAGAAGTGGAACATACACACACACACACACAATTTTCTCCAAGGGTTGTCAGTTTGCTTGCTCTAGTTGGGCCAATTTTACAATCTCTGGACCGTGTTGGGGTAAGCAGAGACGGAGGCGGCCCCTAGAGGGCGAGAAAGGAACCTCCTGTCTGGGTTTCTGCCCCCAAATGGTAGCCTGTGGAACTACAGTCCAGATTTGCAAACATCTAACTCTGGTGTTTCTCTTTTTTTGTTGCAAAGGACGATGCCGTGGAGCAATTTCTCCGCGGAGAAAGAACGCTTGTTTCGACTGCCAGCCTCACTCAACAGGTGACTCCTTTTTCTCCCAAGGTGTTTTACCCCCCCACCTACCCACACCCCTCTTTAAATCGAGCCTTCGTTCCCACAAATGGCACCTTGAGAGGCTTTGGGCCCGTGTGAATCTGAACCCCGTCCCCCAAAAAAGCCAAATATTTCCTCGTGTTGGAAGAAATATCCTTCTGGGTTCAGTTCCAAGTGGCGGGAAAAGTTGCTTGGAAAGGTTTGATGGTGGACAGGACAGACTCAGAGCTCCTGGGCGAAAAAAGGACAGAGATGCTGAGCATCCCTTGGTTAGATGACCTCTGTTGGGCCCCACCGGCGTGTTTCCTGTTCCCGTGTAAGAAATGTATCCCGTTGGCTGTCAGACACCCAGGGGATGGTGGGGTATGTGTGTGTGTCTTAGCTAACTTTGTAGGCTTTGCCCGGACCACAGGCTTTACCTGAGTGCTGCTGGCTGACGGCAGTCTTCCCAGGCGCCGTATGGGTGAGAGGTGGGTGGAGGCCTTTGTAATGTAGAATACTCTGCCCCAGGCCTGAACGCCCCCCCCCCCCCCCTAACAAAAGGTGGGGGGGGCGAGCTTCTGCCTCCCTACTTTCTACTTCTCTTTTTAGGGGAAACAATTCTGCCTTTTTTAAAAGTGGAAAATATTACATTTTCCTAGGAGAATATTTTTCCGCACCTCCTTCCCCAGCGCTTATCTCTCTTACATATGTTTCCTCTCTTTTGCCAGTCCTGGAAATTTGGGGAAAGTAAAACGAGGCCCGGGCTCCTTCTCCTTTCCTCTGGTTTGCCTCTCATGGGCCTGAGGACACACACACACACATACACACACACAGAGAGAGAGAGAGAGAGAGAGAGAGAGAGAGAGAGAGACAACCCTCGGCTGCTTTCTTCAATGCACAAGGCCATGGAGGAGGCCGATGTGCTCACAACTCAACAATGACCCTCATTATGTTCCTTTGGAAGAACTGCAGTGGCCAAACCGCCCCCCCCCCCCCCCCGTTTGTTCCCCCCCCCCCAAGACATTGTTAAAAAGATAAAGGGTGGAAAGGGAGCTTTGAAAGAGAGAGAGAGAGAAAGCAAGAAAGAGAGTGAGAGACGAAGGGAGGGGGAGAGAGGGAGGAAAAAGCGAGGAAGGGAGGGAGAAAGAAAAGGGGAGGGAGGGAGAGAAGGAAGGGAGGAAAGGGAGGGAATGGGGGAGAGAAGGAAGGAAGAAAAATGAAAGGAAAGAAAGGGGGAGGGAGGAGCAAGAGAGGAAGGAAAGAAGGAAGGAAGGGAGAAAAAGAAGGGAAGGAATGAAAAAAAGGAAAGGAAGAAAGGGAGGGAGGAGCAAGAGAGAAAGGAGAGAAGGGAGGGAGAAAGGGAAGGAAGGAAGGAAAGAAAAAGAGGGAAGGAATGAAAAAAAGGAAAGGAAGAAGGGAGGAACAAGAGAAAGTAAGAGGGAGGGAGGGAAAAAGAAAAGGGAAGGAAGGAAGAAAAAGAAAAGAAAGGGAGGGAAGGAGGAACAAGAGAGAAAGAGGATGGGAGGGAAAAAAGGGAAGGAAGGAAGGAAAAAAAGGAAAGGAAGAAAGAAAGGGAAGGAGGAAGGGAGAAAGAAAAAATCAATCTCTGGCAGCTTCGCTAACACGCAACCTCTCCTCCTCCCCCCCCCCCCCGGGCTGCTGCTTGCTGCCATGTTTTGAACTCAGAGCCAGCTGGCAAGGCCGATGGAGGAGGGAGGTGCTGTGCCAATCTAAAGTTAACCTCGACTTGCGACCCCAGCCGGGCTCAAAAGTTTCCTGTCGCTAAGGGAGGCATTGGTCGGGCGGGTTTTTCACCACCTCGCCCGCCAACGTGGTTCAGCGAACAGCTGACGTTAGTAACCCAGTCGTTAAGCGAATCGGGCTCATTGACTTGGGCTGGTGAGAAGGTCGCCAAAAAGGGGATGGCCTGGACCACCAACCTCCCCCTCCCCCCCCGGGGACGCTGCAACCGTCGTAAATACGAGTCGGTTTGCCCAAAAGCTTCTGAATTTGGCTCGTGTGACAGCAAGGAGGCGGCCGACGGTTGTAAGTCTGAAACACGGCCCTAAGCCCCCCTTTCCCGTCCCCACTGCCCTCGTAACTCCGAACCGTCGCAAAACGAACTGTTTGTAAGCCAAGGACTAGCTGGATCAGGGTTTTTTTTTTTTCCCCCAGGAGTTAAGATTTAAACTCTTTTTTATTTTATTTCTTTTTAATTCCGCCTTCTCTTTTGCAAGCAGGACAAATTCGGACTCGGCCCTGCACACCAGCGTGATGAACCCGAACCCACCAAACACCTACCTGGGACCCTCCCAGGCGGGGCCCCCTCCCAATCGTAAGAGCGGTGAGTGGCTTGCGGGGGGTCCTAGCGCAGCGTGGGTCTTGCGAGAGGCCCGGGGGGGGGGGTGGGGTGGGGGGCACGCTCCAGCTAGGATTTGGGGTGGTCTTTGCCGGATGCATCTTCCCCGTCGGTTCGAGACGATGGTTTTAACGGTGGTTTGATGGTCCTTGTTGGGAAGAGAAGCGGCTGCTTTCAATGGCTTTGAAGGAAGAGCGGGTTGAGAAGGTATCTGCTGAATATAACTCAGCCCTGGCAACAGGAAAGGTATCCGGCCAGGAAAACCCTCGGCTCCATTCAGTTGGCCAGACTCCACTCCGCAAAGGATTATGGGCTCTTTAAAAGAAAGTGATGGTGGTGGTGGAGACTTCAAGCGTGTAGCCATGTTTCTCGAAAGTTGGCCCCTTGAAGAGGGGGTGGACTTCAACTCCCAGAATTCCCCAGCCGGCCATGGGAATCCTGGGAGTTGAAGTCCACCCCTCTCTTCACAGGGCCAACTGACATGAGAAGCACTGATTTTAAGAGGAGCCCATCCCAAGGAAGGTTTAAATTTATCCCTAGCAAGGGGTCTCGACCTGCGTGAAGGCCCAGGAGGAAGGGGAGGGTCTGGGAGTTTATAGGCCCAACAATTAATTATTCGTTGCTATTTTTGTTTTATTCTTTTTATTACATTTTCTTTGTTCTCTCTCTCTCTCCCTCTTTTTAAGGTTACCTAGATACAGATACGGATAGCAAAGGTAAGGAGGCTGAAGTCTCGACTTCTTGGCTTGTCCCCATCAGATGAGCATTGGCTTCTCCAAGTTGGGTTATTTTTGTCTTAGTTTCACGAGTGGGAAAAGTGGGAGAGGAGGCTGGAATCTTCTCTCTTCTGGTCTCTTTTATTCTCTTTTCTTTTCTTTTGCTCTTTCCCTTTTTCTCTTCTGGTCTCTTCTCTTTTATTCTCTCTTTTCTTTTTCTCTCTTCTGGTTTCTTCTCTTCTCGTTCATCTTTTCTTTTCTCTTCTGGTCTCTTCTCATTTATTCTCTCTTTTCTTTTTCTCCTGGTTTCTTCTCTTTTCTCTTCTTTCTTTTCCTCTTTTCTTTTTCCTCTTCTCTTCTGTTTTATTTTCTCTTTTATTCTCTTTCTCTTCTGCTTTCTTCTCTTCTCGTTCCTCTTTCCTTTTCTCTTTCCTTTTTTTTCTTCTCTTGTCTCTTATTTTCTCTTATTCTCTCTTTTCTTTTTCTCTCTTCTGGTTTCTTCTCTTTTCTTCTCGTTCATCTCTTTCCTTTTTTCTCTTCTGGTCTCTTCTCATTTATTCTCTCTTTTTTTCTCCTGGTTTCTTCTCTTTTTTCTTCTTTCTTTTCCTCTTTCCTTTTTTCTCCTCTCTTCTGGTTTCTTTTATTTTCTCTTTTCTTCTCTCTCCTGGTTTCTTCTCTTCTGGTCTCTTTTGTTCTCTCTTTCTTCTCTTTTTCTCTTCTCCTTTCTTCTCTTTCCTGTTTCCTCTTTTTCTCTTCTGGTCTCTTCTTTTTCATTCTCTCTCTTCTCTC